ATTCATATATTATGCAGATGTGAAAGAGCCCGAAACCTTTCCTTTTGTGATTTTGGGTAATAAGATTGACATAAACGAACGGCAGGTGTCTGCAGAAGAAGCCCAGGCTTGGTGTAGGGACAACGGCGACTATCCTTATTTTGAAACAAGTGCAAAAGATGCCACAAATGTTGCAGCAGCCTTTGAGGAAGCTGTTCGGAGAGTTCTTGCTACCGAAGATAGGTCAGATCACTTGATTCAGACAGACACCATCAATCTTCACCGAAAGCCCAAGCCTAGCTCATCTTGTTGTTGATTATTAAAGATAATGTCGAGGCATTCTAACCAACTCATACATATACACAAGATAAACATGGGGGAGGAGAGAGAATTAGCATTTGCAGCAGTGTACCACCTAATAAAGTTAAACTAACGTATATTGCTGCTTCATTAGTTGATGGGAGAAGGGACACATCCATTCATGGAGGAATCTATTTACTCAATAATGGCACCTTACATTTATAAATTGTAATGGTTGTCTAATAACGTTTCTTTAATTTAAATATGTAAGTTACAGAGCTAATAAATGAGATGACCAAGACTTTAATTATAATTAAAACAAAAAACTTGACTATTCTAGAAGTTATACTTGGATTTTTTTCCTGGGAAATTGGAGAACTACTTTTTATGTGTGTATATTTTTATGTAATTAGCATTGTATTCTTGGTTCAGGGAAAACCTTTCCTAAAGCAATGTTAGATATTAAAATTAAAATCTAATGCATTTGCAATGCATTGTTACTTGATTACTTCATTCTCTTTAAAATGATTTAACTGTTCATATTTTCATTCCACATATCATTAGAATTGACCTCACTAGTAATTATTTGTCATTTGTGTGCCACACATGGATCCCCACCCCCACCCCCAAGACAAAAGCTAACTTTATTACTCTTGGAGGAAATACTAAGAATTATTGTACTTTGTGAGGGTAAATGAAGACATCTTTCTTTGGTCACGTATTTATTTATTTAGTGTATTTATCACTGAACATTGTTTAGTGATTTGCTCTCCAGGGGATTTTTTGTTCTAAAAAGAGGACTTGCTGCAATGACCAGACTTGATAAGGGAAATTGTAGTCTTTCATGGGTCAAATTCATATGCTGTGCCATTCATGGTGATCCAATCATATGGAGGCAAACCAAAACCTAGACTGCAGTTGGCATGGACCAGACCCTCAACTGTGGAGCAATAGGGTTATCAGGCGACGTGCTGGGTGAGGGGAGATTTTAAAAAATTAGATTGATACATTTCTCTCCCTGGCCCCACCCATTGGGAACCACTGAAAAACATTACAGTAAGCTGAGCTGAAAGTCCGATGTCCTAACATAAGGGCCAATTTTGCCATATGGGAAAATTTTATGGAAACATAGAAGATGGATGAGGAACAAAGCAGGCGGTGACTGGCAGCAGGAGTGATGAGAAACAGCTGCTGAGCTTCCCGGGAAGAAAGCAGAAGAGAAGCAGCAGCACAGATCACGCTCCACAGTCCCAGGAGGAGGGAGGGCCCCTGATGGTACAGGACTTGCCCATCATACAGTGTGCAACTGACTGCTGTCGTAATGGTCATACCTCCAGCTAGGTTCAAGCCTATCTCTGAACAGAAGGCCTTTTGAGATAGAGTTCAATAGAGTTTTAAGAAAAAGGCAAACTACTGAACTTGGAGGACAGAAAAACGTGCATTTGACATCTGATGTAGCAATTACAATGTGCTGTGTGGAAGCGAGAAAATTACAATTCCATTAATGGACTACTTAATATTTTTGTCACTTTCTTCACCCTTGTGAGGTTCCCTAGTTGAAGTTAAAACATCCAAAATGTTCCTTGTCTTAAAAGATAACCTTTTTACATTTCTATACAAACGTAAGGTTTCCCTTTAATACTGTGACATGATGCAATTTCTTTCACAATGTCAGTGTCTTGTAGGACATTAAAGTGTTAAACAGAAAAACGGACCAGTGTGGGTACCTCGTGAAAGGTGGAGTCTGGACAGTCATTGGTTTCTGGGACTCTGGATTGTCAATCAGGAAGCATGTGACCAAAAAGTTAAAGAACATGGGTGTAGCATGGCAGATATTGGGAGTACTTATGTACATGAGAAACACAGACACCTAATGAAGCATCCTCAGAAATTTCCCAGCTATAGAAGGGACAAAACTAGATTTGTATATTTTATCTGGATTACTTTTGGAACACTAACATAGATAACCAACTTAGTGCTGACATACATGTGCTTAGTGGAATCTGATTTTCTTAAGACTGATTTCGCCCCATTGCTCTTGTGTTCCAGAACCTTTAAGGACATCGCCTGCCAGATCCAAGCTTTACCAGCTTAGCTTTCCTAATGATCAGCCCCTGGCATTCTGCTGTTGCCAGTCCTGGTTCCGTCCTATCAGCTACTGGTCCTACCTATCCAAGTGCTCCAGTGCTCTTTTCCACACCTTCATGCCTGCGATACTTTTCCTACCTCAGGGGTCCCACTCATTGCTCTACTTCCCTTGGAGCTCCTTCAAAGACACAGTCAAATGTGAAATTTGCCATTTTCCTTTGGTAATATACTCACACAGGGTGCGTTACCAGTTCCCATCTCACCCTCACAATCCTGGAGAAAAGGATGGCTATTTGTTAGTGTACCAGTGTTGTACAGCTGAGCCAGGGCCTGAACTCAAGTTTTCCCACTGCCACAACTTCCTGCTGTTCCCCATGCTGCAGTTCCTGGCTGGCTTGCATTATAGCCTTCTGGATTATATGCTCACTGAGGGCAGGGCAAACCATATACAATGAATATGTGTTTGGGTGTCTCCTATTAGCACAGCTGAAATTACTCCCAGACTTCTTTTTTTTTTGGAGACAGTCTCGTTTTGTTGCCCAGGTTAGAGGTAGTGCTGTGGCATCAGCTTAGCTCACAGCAACCTCAAACTCCTGGGCTCAAGCAATCCTGCTGCCTCAGCCTCCCGAGTAACTGGGACTACAGGCATGCGCCACCATGCCTGGCTAATTTTTTCTATATATATTAGTTGTCCAATTAATTTCTTTCTATTTATAGCAGAGACGGGGTCTCGCTCTTGCTCAGGCTGGTTTTGAACTCCTGACCTTGAGCAATCCACCCGCCTTGGCACTCCCAGAGTGCTAGGATTACAGGCGTGAGCCACCAAGCCCAGCCACTCCCAGACTTCTAAATGAGTTTGTTCTTTTTTTCTGCTCCCAAACCTTTGGCACCTACTGTGTTTCCCCAAAAAGAAGACAGGGTCTTATATTTATTTATCCTCAAGAAGACACCCTAGGGCTTATTTTCAGGAGATGTGTTATTTATTTATTTTTTTAAGTACGGCACAACAATCTACATTTATTCAAATATAGTTAAGTACGTCTTCTTCTGGAACATCATTATAACTCTCCAAACCCCAAATTCCATCCTGAATTTCTTGCGACTCTATTTCCTTTAGAGCCATTGGCCCCAATTTCTCATATCAAGCAACAGAGCTCTCATTAAATGAGCAGGGCTGGTTTATTTATCAGAGATCCAGTGAGCACTGGGTCCAATCTGCACAGTGGAACAGAAATGATCTCTCTGGGCTCAGTAGGAGACTGCTTGCTGAAGCTTTTCCCTTATCCCCTGGTGTTTGTGGGGGATGAGAGGCCCACAGTGCTGAGTAAAATGACAGCCACAGCTTTCCTTCTTCCCCCTGGGGACACACAATACCTAAAGCAAAGCATCCCGCTCCTCACTTCACTGAGATTTTCCCCTCAAAGCCTCAGCTTGCAGCATGCACAGGATGGCCAGGACATGACGGGGGAGCCGATCTTGGTGGTGGGGCTGCCCACACCTTTTCAGTCACCTCTGGGATAGTAGCTGTCATGATGGGGCAGATGAGGAGGGCTGCTCGTCTTCTTTACCGCTCTGGGAGAAAATGCATGGGTTGTGCAGATATGGTGCGTAGCCACGCCCACCACTAGGTCTTATTTTCGGGGTGGGGCCGCTATTGCGCAAATGCTTAGAAATCCTGCTAGGGCTTATTTTATGGGTAGGTCTTATTTTCGGGGAAACATGGTAGTTGTAGTCAATGTGAGGTCCACCGTATAATGGGTTAAGATATATTAGTTTGCAAGCTCTTGATAAGGGAAACAGGACTAAAACAGTGGTGGTGGGTAGCACTTTAAAATTGAGTATTAAACTACCACAATCTTGGACAAACATCTTTATTTAAGAAATCAAATAAATAGGGTAAAAACTGATGGTAGCAACTTCACACAAGTATACAAGACCAAGCTTAAAATTACTTGCTCAAATTCAGAATGGAACAAAATTCTTCAAGTTAACATAACTAAGAAAATATATGATTACTTGTTTTTCAATGGACATTTTGCTATTTTACTAGAAGATCACACACTTAACCACGGTACTAAAGAGACCACTCGCAGCCCACTCTGATGTATAGCCTAAAAGGCTGAGTGCAAATGTTAATGTGCTCCAAGCTTTTCTATGATAGCAATTATAAAATTACCTTACAACTTTTTACAAGTACATATCCCAACAGGTTTAGTCTTTACTGTCTGAGGGAAAGGAAATACAACAACAGGGTGATAGAAACAACAGAGTTCACTCACTGTGGCCTATAATACTGGCCCCAGCCTCCCATTTTACAAACATGGATCTAGGACTCTAAATGGATGACTAAAGCAATGTATGTGCTATCAATTTCATTCCTTACTGCAGACTCTTTTTAGTTTTAAATCTATCAAATCTTGACTATGACATTTGTTTTTGCACTGTCACATCAAGGTCAAGCTGTCTGAATTAGGAAAGTCAAAACCTTATTCTCAGTTTTTAAAATAAAAATGTTTCAAGATTACCGATAAGGAGCTCTTTATCAATAACACTGTTTACAAGCAAATATTGATCTGTTGCTAAGTGACATGAAACAGAATGTACTATTTTTAAATATAAAGGAATTTCATTAGGTTTAGATAAATTGAGACTACAAGTAAAAGTTTTCCAGGCTATTTAATCAAGTTATTACAATGTACACATTCCTGAGTATACCCCATTGTTGTAACATTGTTTATTTCAGAACTTTTCCTGCATTCAGCTTAAAAGGTGTTTCTTCCCAAGAAATTGAACTTTTCTGTCAAATGCGCTCGATCGAATAGGAGAATTGGGTTCATAAAATGGATTCATTGCAAACTAGGAAAGAAGAAGGTATTAGTGAGCTTGTCAAAGCAGAAAGACTAACAAATCATAGGTCTCTAAAAGGAAATTAAAGTTTTCAATTAAAAATCATCAAAGACATTCAAAAGTCTGAAGACCACTTTTTTTTTTTTTGAGACAGAGTCTCGCTCTGTTGCCTGGGCTAGAGTGCTGTGGCATCAGCCTAGCTCACAGCAACCTCAAACTCCTGGGCTCAAGCGATCCTCCTGCCTCAGCCTCCCGAGCAGCTGGGACTACAGGCGCACACCACCACACTCAACTAATTTTTTCTATTTTTAGTAGAGACGGGGTCTCACTCTTGGTCAGGCTGGTCTGGGACTCCTGGCCTCAAGCTATCGTCCTGCCTAGGCCTCCTGGAGTGCTAGGATTGCAGACGTGAGCCACCCTCACCACACCCAGCCATGAAAGCCACATTTTTCAGTTTCATTGAAAACACTGCATTGTTAAATACTAATCATCTCCTTAAGGAAATTTTTATTTTGGTGTTATAGTTGTGAGAAGAACCTGGAGCAAAACTATGGCAGTATGATAGATGTTGCCTGTGTAAGTTAAATTGACTCTCAGGATTCGCCCTATGTGTGAAATACTTCATTTATAATATTTATATATAAATATTATATTTATTATATTCATATATAATATTTATAATATTCATTATAAATAAATGGATTAATCTGTAAAGCCTTTTGGCTGCACAAAATAAGAAAAATCTACCATATGCTCAGAGTTAAAAAGTTACACCACACCACTATTAAAAGTTACTGTTGTGTGGTAATTTTCTAACAACCATATTTTTAATAATCTCCTTTAACACAAGGCTAAACAGCTTCTCAGCTAAAGTAATAAGTAGCATAACATGTGAGAGAAAATTATTGATATTAAATGGAATCACTAATGAGGACAGGTGTTACTGATTTTTATACCTGAATCACTTGATATTGCCCATCTTTATTAAAGGGTTAAATATTATTTGCTACCTCTGACTGGGAATATTGTTCAATTTTATTATTGTGTTGATATGCAAGAAATCCTATCCAAATACAGAACATTGAAATTATTAAGAACATACTCTTGTTAGAACTGCAGTTCAACCATGACATCCTGTTACTACTTTATTTTTCAATTCAATATCAAAAATGGACCATTCTTCTTGAGTGACTATTTGATAATATAAGAATCACTTCCTGCCAGTTTATGATCTCTGTTCATGGCATTGTAACTTATTTGTACAGTAGATGGAAAACATTTTAAATTATGAAGCAATTTTCTCATAAGTAGGCTGCTTCCTTGCTCTCTTTAGAGTTCTCTAAAAAAATCAACAATATGCACCAAAAGGGGAAAAATGAAACCAGTTTACTTTCACAATCATTTAAAAATAGCTACCACGAGTTGTTTTCCTAAATACATACTAACTTGGCTGTGAAGACTTGCCTGTCAAGGGAGTTGCCAGACATAGTTCTGACTGGGGGAAAGCTAGTCTGAAAGGAAAACTGCAGCATAAGGGAGTTATTTCAACAGGTCAGTTTCCTGTCAAGGTTTGAATACTTTTTTATTATAATCAGATTTTAAAAATTATAGAACATACTATACCTTTATATATAAATCATAGACATCTGTAAAGAAGTTCTTTATTCCATCTTCTTGCCTTATGTCATGAAGCATAATAAATCTCATATGTGAAATAATTAAGGTATAATCTTTCTTAGAAAGAAAAACAGAAAGCAATCATTGATATAATATTCTCCAAATTAGTCACATACCCGTTTTGCAATGGAAAAGTTGAATACATAACCTGAGTTTAAAGTTAGCTTAGTTTCATCTTAGAAAAGATAATCTTTAAATAACTATAAGATAAAGTAAAATCACCTCTGATAGGTTCAGATAAACCACAGTTTTATGTATGAGACTTAGCTTTAAAATTATCTATAAATAAAATGTTTCTTCCCTAAAAAAATAAAAATAGCCCCATAAATGGAAATTTTTACATTTTTACTGACTCTGAAGTCTACTTGCTCAGAGCCTGGCATCTATGTTCCATGTTCTTCTAGTTTGTTAACTCAAGCTTTAGTTAGGTATCTACTAAAAATAAGGATATGCCCTGCAGTGACAAATGCTGACACAAACCACTCGTTGAACTTGTCCACAGTTTTTAAGTACATGTTGTTCGACAGCCACATGTTCTCATCTACCAGGTCGAGAGCGGCATGAGCTATGAACTGGTTCAGATGACGGTGGTCATCCTAGATGACAGTGTAAACAGCAACAGATTAACATTTCCCTATGGCATCAAGAATACCGACATTTCATTCTGTAAATCCTATACATGGTTTCCTTGTGGGGAAAACACACTGCAATCTGCTTATTGTTATCATGAGACTTACAAAAGATCTGTGTTTTCACGTAATGTTCTATTTTAAAATTTGTAATCTCAATCTCAACAAAAAGAACAAACAGCTAATTACTTCATAAATGAAATGTTTATATAATTTAGTAAGGTACCTTTATTACTTAGACCTAAAATTATTTATAGAAAATTATTTTTATTGAAAATCTTACTTTTTATAGAAAATTATTTTTTTAATGTTGCAAGAAGGAAGTTGCCAAATCCTGTAACCATTTAAGCATGTGACAAAAGGATACTATGTTTTAAAAAAGGTAGATCCTGCTTTTAAGAAGCTCACGTAGTAGAGGAAAAAGACATACAAAAAGCATGGAAATGGATGTGCCTGAAGGTGAGCACCTGCGGTAGGCTGGGTCTGAGTGGAGGGGAGGACAGCGGTGTAGAAGGGGTGCCATTCCCACCAGGCCTTGAGGCCTGGGAGGAAGCTGGGAGGTGCTGGGCTACCTGCACAGTGGCACCAGGTGAGCAGGGAACATTGGCTCAGGAGGTGACACTCATAATGGCCACCATAGGCCTCTTTCAGGTAGACAGAGTATGCATGGTAGGGGGACCCAGGAGTGGCGGGAGGCCACGCTCAGCTCCAGCTGTGAACAATCTCCTGTGTCAGCAGCAGGAGATGATCCTATCAGAGCTAGGAGTGTCCCTTTTGTGGGCTGAAATGGCTAGGAGTGTCCTGTTTGTGGGCTGAAATGGCTTAACTGGAGAGAAGGTGGAACTGTTCTATGATTACATGGACAGGGAATTCACAGCCTAGAATGCTGTCTTACTCCAATGTAATTCTTTCAAAATACATTTTTCAAAGAATACTTCTGTTGGCCTGTATCCCCTCAAAATTCCTATGTTGATGTCCTTAGCCCCAGTACCTTGGAATGCAGCCTTATTTGCAAAGAGGGTAGTTGCAGATGTAGTTAGTTAAGATGAGGTCATACCAGAGTAAAGTGGGCCCCAATCCAGTACGACTGGTAAATTTATAGAAAGGGAAGATTTGGAGACAGACACACACATGCAGGGAGAATGCCATGTGAAGACTGGAGTTAACGCTGCCACAAGCCAAAGAACTCCCAGAAGCTGGAAGAGAGAGACCTAGGCAGATCCTTCCCTACAGCCTTCAGAGGGAGCAAGGCCCTGCTGACACTTTGATCTTGGACTTCTGGCTCTCAGAACTAAGAGATAAAATTATCTGTTGTTCTAAGCCACTCAGTTTTTGGTACATTGTTTCGACAGCCACAGGAAATTAATACAGCCTCCTGTCTGAGGAGATTGTTCCCATAACTGGGCTGCAGAAAGAGGCCAGTTGCCCTGGAATCCCTTGCACAGCTAAAGCATGTTTACTTCGCTCCTGTTGCCATGACGAAGCTAAGTGAATCCTTGAGAAATGGATGTATTTTGTGTCTGGCTCACAGTACTGTTTTCCATTACTTTACACTGATGATCAATCTTGAGACGTTAGGAGCAAACTGTAGGAAAGCTTTAAGAAAGTGAGTGCTAGCAGGAGAAAGAACTAAACTTAAGTCATGGGACAAAGTATTTTTTATATGCACAAGGCCACTGGAGTACACAGGGCAACTATTGCTACAGAGATACCTCAACACAAAGTTTTAATGAGTACTGTTCTAGTAAGAATGTAGGAAAATCATGTAGGAACATCACCTGGTAGATAATACCTTAAATTTCTATCATATTTTGGTGGCAAGATCTCAATAGTTGAAAAGCATACATTGAACATTATGCATTACTTAAAAAAAATTAATTCCTTGTCTTAAAGGGCATTAAAGTCCACTTTTGGAGCATGGGAGAAACATAGCATAATTGTTAGCAATTTTTTAGGAATGTGGACTAGTACAAAAAGATGGAAGGGACTGGGCTATTCTCATCTCAAGATTCCACAGGTCTGTTTACTCTGAATGGCAACATGTTCTTGAACCACGCCTGTTTTTCAGAACTATTCTTCACAAGAAACTAGGTGGCATCACCTCTGGGGCTGCTTTAGAGTTCCTGCATGCAGCCAGGGTGTCACTGGGGAGGAGAGCACACCACCCAACCAGGAAGTTCTGCAGACCCAGTGGCAACAGAAGGATACAGAAATAAGGATCTCTTTTAACCTCTCTGGTAATAATTGATTTACTATGCATTTCCTGATGAAAAATGTGATTCACTGAAACATGACTGTTCTTCCAGACCCACTCCAGATGGACTATGTTTCTATGTGCTTAAGCAGCATTTCATGGTGGATGACACAGTAAAATATTATGGGAAAGAGACCCAGAACATCATTCTAGTCTGTGCTAAGTAAGTGTGTCCTGAATTAAAGGATGAATAAACAACTCCAAGGACATTCCCTGGATGGCTCTTAGCAGTCTGTGGGACTCCAGAGCAAGCCTCATTTAACTGTGGTAGATTTCAATGACCTCATCTGTCCAGATCTCTTCCAGTGCTAAAATCATATTATACTATATCATCACAATTGCATAGAAATTCTTACGGAATTTAAGGTTCCATACGCACTTTGGATTCTGCTTTCCCGGCTGGCAAAAACTCCATTTCAAAAACTGGATTATCATGGTGGCCAACAATTACAAAGTAGAAGCTTCCAGACATTGTCAATATATGGCTCCTAATTAAATGAAAAATAATAGATATTTTAGTACTCAATACTGAAATTCAGAAATGGCTAACAGAAGTCTAGAATTCATTTATTTATTTTTCCTTAAATCTGACATTGTAGAGGGGGATGCCACTAAACTTGGCATGCTTTCCAGTATACTACCACAGATACATGGCTTTGGGACTAAATAAATTATATGTCTGTGATATGTCCTATAGAATCTAATGTACTATATTTTCCATAGGGAAACTGGAAAACTTCTAATATGAAACCATAAAGACATCCTCACCATCTGAAAGTTTGGAACATTTAACTCAAGTGTTCCTGTGTATCTGGTGGAGTAAGCTGGGCTTAATTTAGACTGGACCAGTTAGCACCAGCCCTGACACCAGGAAAGATTAATAGAGGATACCTGTAAGTTAAGTACAATAGACAGTGGTGAGAAGGCAAAGGAAGTGATTGTCTTAGAAATTTCCAGGAGGCATCCTTCAGAGGAAGCTAAAAACAACTCTACCTCATGTCATCTGCACAGAAGGAGAGAAACTCGCATTTATCTGCAGACTATGTGCTGTATTTGTCTTCTTTCTACCTGTGTGCTATAAATATAGGTCTCTGCAAATGTAAGAGCCAATAATATGCCTCCTTATAACATTAGCTTAGAAGAAAGGAAGAAACAGTTTTGTATTCTAGAAAAGATGGAAGAAATAATCCCAAAAGGAAGACATTCTGAGAAAGTGAGAGGTCTTAGAACTAAGGTTAACAGTTTGGCTAAAGAAATGAGAAACTGGGGGGGAAAGTATCAGTGATTCCATGGCTTTTAGCACAGATAATTGAAATCTGGATGGACGGACAGACAGCTGGAAGAATGGATGACAGATGGGTGGATTTACACATGTATGTATTATTTATCACAAGGGCTTTGGAGTCTGACAAAGCTAGGTTCAAGCCTAGCTCTGCCACTTATGGGTAATGTGACAGTCAGATGTTGGTTTTCTCATCTGTGAAACAGAGATAACACTGTACCTACTTTACATTGCACTTATGAGGATTATACAATCTAATGCATGTAAAGCATCTGGCATAGTGTCTTGCTCACAGTAAGTGCTCAATAAATGTTATCTAGAATGACATGGAAGATCACATGCACACTGGCATGTGGTGACTAGAAATTTTGCAAGGTGGGGTGGAAATCTAGTTAACCGGGAGTCAGTCCCCTGGAATACACATCTGAGGTGTGTTAGAGCCCAAGACTCATCAAGCCTCACTGGGCCTCTGCTGATTCACATAGAACATGCAATAAAATCAGAAAAAATTTGAAATGTATTTCCTAATGACACATTTTATAAAGGAAACTGGGGCATAGCTGGCACTTTTTTAACTCTAGAACCGGAAGGCTGTGACTGTGGAAGAAAAGGCAGATAAGAGACACTTGACATAATGAAGTAGGATTTTTAAAAATGTCATTTGGGGCAGGGGTGGCATGCTACAGACTGCAGGCCAAATCTAGCCTGGCCCGTCTTCTTTGTACCATCTAAGGCTGCTTTCACCCTTCAGTGGCAGAGCTGAGCAGCTGTGACAGAGACCATCTGGCCCACAAAGCCAAAAATATTTACTATCTGGCCCTTTACAGAAAAAGTTTGCCCCTGTTTTAGGGGAAAGATGAGAAAAAGCCCCAAATAGTAAGAATGGATAACAAAGACAAGCAGGAATAAAAAAAAAAAAGCTGTGCAAAACTAGGAGAATTGGCAATAAATCTCCAGGGCAAGTGAGGGGAGGAGAGCTGGAGACTGGAAATCTGAACAAAGTAAACAATGATATCATGAATTCTTGCTGGACTAGGTTTCAGAGCTGGAGTGTGCCAAGGGAAGGGCTTACTTTCCTTCAGCACAAATATTTAAGCAGCAGCAAAAAAATGTTTAAGCAGCAGCAGAAGGAAGAATATGCATAAGGAAGATAACCTGCACCCCCCCCCCACGGAACTCCATGATTGGGAGCAGCACGGTGCTAAGCGCTGCAGGCAGACAGACAGAAAGGGAACTGAAAGAACAACGGACTGCACAAGGGTGCTGTTACAAACTACCCAGCTGGGCAGAGCATGAGACAGAGCTTTCTTTATATACATTCTGTCCTTGACTTGAGCTGCCAATGACTTGATTTGGCAAACAGCTAAAGAAGCAAGAAGGGCTGTAACTCTTCATTCAATTCTGCCAAGGAAAAACTGACAGGTGAAGTGGAGGAACTGAAAACCCTGGGAGAAAATGATCCCACTGTCTGAGGAAGGGAATGGCTGCAATCACTTAGCAAATATTTGATATGGGGCAAAGGTGAGGCACACTCTAGAATTCCGCCCCGTGCAATATATGGAACTTTCTGTGAGGATGGAAATGTTCTATACCTGTGCTGTCCAACATGGGAACCAGTGAGCATTTGAAATGTGGCCAGTGTGAACTGGATTTTTAATTTTAATTAATTTAAACACAGACACATGTGGCTAGTGGTTATAGTATCGGACAGTGAAGCTCTAGATCAGTGTTTCCGAACTTTTTATAAAAGTTTGGGACCTCCTCCACCTTCTCCCCACCCATAAATTACTTAGAATTCAAACACAAATAATACAAATAAAACCACTGTGACTGAAGTGCCTATGTTGGTTTGAGTGTATGTGTCTGTTCAATTTTCCTGTCACCTTAAATAGGCGCCCTTGAAGCATCCAAGGAAGGCTTGGTCTATAGGTGGTCAGGAGGTAGCTCCACAGAATTTGCAAATAGGTTAGACTAGGAAATTTGGACAAGAGAAGAATCTAAGATGGTTTCCAGATGTCTGGCTGGGTGAACAAGCAGAATAAGTGGCTCCTCTCCCAAGATGTCCACACCCTTAATCTCTGGAAGCTGTGAATATGTCAGGGTTCATGGCAAAGAGGAATTAAGGTTGCAGATGGAATAAAGCTGCTCATCAGCTGATCTTAAGATAGAAGACGAACCTGGATCATCCAGGTGGGCCTAATGTAATTACAAGGGTCTTTAAAAGCAGAAGGACATAAAGGAGGAAAGCCAGGGGAAGGGTAACTATGGAAGGATGGTCACAGAGAGGTGATGTTGATGGTTTTGAAAATGAAGGAAGGGGCCACAGCTAAGGAATGCAGGAGGCCTCTAAAAGCTGGAAAGCACAAGGAAACAGATTCTCTCTCCCCTACAGCCTCAAAAAGGAACGCGGCCCTATAGACATCTTGATCTTAGCCCAGCAAGACCTGTGTCGGACTTCTATGCTACAGAACTGTAAGATGATAAATCTGTGTTGTATTAAGCCACTGAATTTGTAGCAGCAAATTTGTTACAGCAGCAGTAGGAAACTAACACACATGTCAAAGCTACAAAACCCCAAGGTATGAGAGAAAAAGAAGGAAATACTCAAGGAGGTGTCAGCAAATGAGCAGAAGGTACATTCTAGGAAGAGACTGAGGACAAAAGGGAGTTCACTTACCACGGAGCATGGGGTTCAAGGCACTGTGGAAAAGGTGTTGCAGGGAGACAATGACAGTCAAGGTGAAGATATCTGGAGCAATGTGGGGCTGATAGTGTGGAAAAGAACAGGGGTTCTGTTTTTTCCAGCATGGGTCCCTAACACAGCCTGGTACACAGAAAGTGCCTAATAATTGCCAAATGGAACTAAGATGAGGAGGGTTGTAGGTTGGAAAGTGTTGTCAGGTGATGCTGGAATGCAAGGGTGAGACATGGTGGGATTTCAGTGTTAAGCAGCCTCAACACTGCAGAGAACCTTCTGAAAGCTCCAGTGATGAGGCCCTAGAGGCCTGACAGTGAAGTCTGTGTTCAGGTGGTGCATAGCACCTTTGTGAAAAGTTGAAGTTCCTTAAGGTACCTATGAAGAAATCCTCCATGACAAGGGACTGGACTTGGTGGCTGATGAGAGGGAGCCAGGACTCTCATTTGTGGTGGAAACAGCAGCTGTCCCTGGTGGTTAAGGCAATGTGAGCTGCTTTTGAGAGGGAGGCAACTAAAGAAATCAACTGGTGATATGAGGAGCTTCTCTGGGCTGGGCATAGTGGCTCTCACCTGTAATTCCAGAACTTTCAGAGGCTGAGGTTGGAGGATCACTTGAGGCCAGTAGTCTGAGACCAGCCTGGGCAACATAGCAAGACCCCATGTTTACACAAAATAAAAAGTAAAAAAAAAAAAAAGGCAGGCATGGTGGCATGCAACTATATCTCAGCTACTTGGGAGGCTGAGGCAGGAGGATCACTTGAGCCCAGGAGTGCCAAGATTGCAGTGAGTTATGATTGTACCACTGAACTCTAGCCTGGGTGACAGAGTAAGACCTTGTTTCCCAAAAACCAAAAAAACCAAAAAACCCCACAACTATACAACAATAAGACAAAGGAAACCTAGATTAAGAGCAGTTCATCTACACAAACCCTAAAGTTTTAACTTACTGCAAGCTCAGTAAGAGCCAGCAGTTTGATATGATGGTCAAAAAAGTTAATGCAATTCTAGGCTGCATTAAGAGAAAGACTGTCCAAGCAAGGTCGAGAAAAATGTCAATATCCTCTTTACTGATATCTTTGGGGAAGGTACTCAGTTCTGGGAATCACACTGTAAAAGGATCAATAACTGAACTGTTTGTGTTGGGGGAAGAGCAGGCTCTAGGCCAGGGAGTTTTCTGGAAATGATAAAAGCATCTGAAAGAACTGAGGATGTTTAAACTGAGGGGGGTGGGATGGGGAAAGGGAGTGGGTCTGGCAAAATACTATCTAAGCTGTCTAATGGAAAAGGGATTTGGCTAAGGATAGAAAATAGGCTTCCTCTCCTGAGTGAATTCCAATCAACTGTTAGTTTGAGAATCTTTCTCAGCACCAGTTTCTGGCAGTCACTAAGTACCGTAAACAAGAAAGAACGCTGTGATTAATTCTCTGTCGGCTATATGGGTTTGAGAGAGTGCAGCGCCTACATGAGGGTCAATTTGCTAACTCTTGACTAGACAGACTTATTTCACACTGCTCCATAGGCCAAGCCCAGGGCTGCTCACTTGAAGTTAGGAAGAAACTAGAAATGTGTAAGGGGCAGCTAGAAACCACCAGAGCTAGAGTGGGAGGATGAACTCAATGAATTTAAAAGTTCCTTCCAACTATGGAATCTTAAGTTGCAGGCAAATGAAAGACAACACTCAAGGACTCCAGTTCCAAAGTCACCCATTTTTTTGGCAAATCTTTTTACAGCCTCTACAGAGGAACTTCTAGATAAGCTGCCTTTTCCTCCCCATGGCAGTGGTTTCAGTTGTTCCACAGACTCGGGGCTGCAAGAGTAAACTGGTGTGGCATGGGACGTGTCTATTGCAATGAGGAGGAGTATGAATACCATTGGTAGGTCTCTAATGTGACATTTTCCCAATAATATTAGAAGTAATTCGCCTGCCCCTAAATGAGGTTATGTTGGCTTTTGGAGAACATTTTATCTAATTCTATTCAACTTCGGGACCAAAGGTGGGAGTAGTAGTGAGAGGGGGTCTTCAGGCACAGAAACTTTAACAGTGGCCAAGTGCTTCTACTTTTAAACAGAATTTACAACATAACATCTTGAACACTTCATCATTTCACTATTCTGCTCAAAATCCTTAATGCTTCTCAGCAACAAGACCATGTACTAGTATTCCAAATGATTCCCACATTGCTCCACATGTCTTTTCTCAACCTTTTCCACCTCTGCTGGAGTTGACTGGTTTACTTTTTTCTCCCAAACTCATTTTGTACCCACTCCAGAGTTCTTATTTTTCTCTTTATGCTTGGAATGTTCCCCCTGATTCTGTGTGCAACCCTTACCCATCCTTTAAAGTCAACTAAGCCCCTCCTCCTCCACAGTGATTTCCAACAAAAACTTATAGGCTCTCCACCTCCTATGATAATCCTGTCACTCTTGCTGCCTCTAAAATATTTTTTCACAGCCAGAGTGCAAAACTCATTGTACTGTTCTTTAGTGCTGTGCAGAAGCTGACACTGATCCAATTTTGTCCTCATAGTACTTAGATACCTTATATCCTCAGCGCCCAACTCTCGAATCAGGTCAGATTCCTCACTGCCCCCATGAGGGTCCTGCCTTTTTTATTATGATTTCTTTGCTCATTTTCCCCCTTCCTGTGATGTTCTCCTTTTTGCCCATCATTCAAATCTTACCCGTGAAGCCCCTGACAAAGTCACACTTTTTCCACAGAGATAACCTTGATCACTTCCATCTTCAACTACCTCTCCTTTACCTAAACTCTTTCCGCAGTCTACAAAGCATCTTCGTTTTTGTTCAATTCTTTGGCTGTAATGTTTTCACTATTGCTTCTGAGAGATTTGGTGCCTTTTCTTTCTAATTAGACTTAAGCATCTTGGATACCGGCTCACCTTTCCCCACAGCACACAACGGTAGGTACTCTAAAAAAGTTTAGCTCTGTGGTTCTCAACCAGGGTCGATTTTTGCCTCCCAGAGCTCATATGGCAGTGTCTGGAGACATTTTAGTGTCACACCTAGGGGAAGGGTGTGCTACTGACACTTGGTAGAGACCAGAGATGCTGCTAAACCACCTAGACGCACATGACCGCCTCCCACAACAAAGACCCTTCCGGCTCCAAATGGCATTAGTGCTGCAGTTAATAAACTCTGAGTTAGCTGAATTGCCCAGGGAAGGCCGAAAGAGGCAAAGTCCCCGAGACAGTGGGCGTTTGCAGGTCGAAAGGCAGTGTGCATTAGCCAGCGGGGGCTGTCCGGGTCCGGCCCGGCTGTCCCAAGGCCGCGGAGGGGTGGAGGTACAGGGCCAACATCCACGTCACGCAGGGGCTGGGACGTCCCTCAGGGAGGGACCTGGAGCGCCCGCCCCCCTACTCACTCCATCCCCTACCTGCCGCAAGATGCAGACAACGGAAACGCCCAGTCCGTTACCACGGCGGAGACCCGCGCTCCGCAGCTTTTGCTGCGACTCACGGGCAGTCCTCGCGAGACCTCGCGGATGCGCTCCCGCGTGATGTAGGTGAAGCTTCCGGTCGGTGCGGCGCAGTCGGGCGCATGCGCTGTAGCGCTCGGGACAGGGGTTGCTCGGCTCTGCGGGCTTCCGGGAAGGGCGGGGTCAGCTTTGAGCGGTGAAAACACGCGGTCTTCACTTGCCTTCTAGTGCTCTGTCTCTCCCGGTCTCCGCCCTCCAGTCACCTTTGAGTGTCGCGCCTGGGTCACGGCCCCGCCCACCCCTCCGAACTGAGGAGAAAGGAACTGCGCATCTTTACCAGAGTTTCTAGTTCGGAGTTCGAGGCAAATCGTTCAGCACCCTTGTTTCTCCCGACTCCCCGGGACAGTGGCAGGGCTCTGAGAGCAAGGATTCCCCTTCGTTTTGGGTCTGCAGCCCGAGCTGGGCCTCGAACTGGAGCCACAGTGGGGAGGGCCGGGCGGGCTCCGAAGGAAGCTGACACCTGACGATGGCTCAGGTAGATACACCTGTGCCTCCTCGAGGACTGGCGGAAATGAAGTCTCTTGTTTGTGTTCGTTAAAGCTCCTTTCCCCGCTGGGCCTCTTAGGGCTTTTTCCTGGAGGCCACTGGTCTGTTTTCAGAAATTCACATCCTCTCTGCCGGCCGGGTAACTTGTAACCGTTTTGTCTTCCAGTTCACCATGGCCCCCAAATGTGATGTGTTGAGTCAAGATGACCTGCGCAAAAAGCTATACCAGACGTTTAAGGATCGGGGTATACTGGACACACTCAAGGTATCAGATTTTGCCATATCTGTGTCATAACTTTTACGACTGTAACCTGGAACAAGTAGTCCACATTTAAATTCATTCAGGGGTTGGGTTTTAATAATAGTATGATATATAGATTGTGTTGGTGAATTACATTTTTATATTCCTATATAACTCTATCTTGAAATAATCTATGGAAAATGTTCCAGAAAATGTTGAGTTTGAGTCCTCTTAAAAGAGCATGTTTAATTAATTGAATTGATGTTAAGATAGTGGGTGACATTTATGTAACGAACAACACATTTTAGTAAGACTAGGCTTTTTTTTTTTTATAAATTTGGCTTATAGGTTCCTAAATTAATACGTGGTTTTGTAATACGTTTGGATGAAGGACATCGACATCACATAGAAAACATTAAGCTTAATGTAGACTCGTTTGGGGAATGAAAAATTTCTTCTTGAAGATATACTGAGACATATGAATATTTGATTTGGCAGCAAATATTTATTAGTATACTTTGGATTAACAGCTGGGAATCAGATTAGCTCAATGTGTTTTCATTATGGTATACATTTCAAAAGCATATTTTACATTTAAAATGGGAAATTAAGGAAGAACAAGCTTGATTTTTCTCCACCCCTTCCCCATTGCTTTTGTAACTTCATAAAAATACTTCAAACTCCTCTGGAAAATACAGATAAAGCATAAGGGAGAAAAATCATCTGTAATACAGCCACTAATTGGAATAATGTGTGTATGTATATTCTTTTTAAATTTAAATTATAATAATGAGCATTTCCCTGTTGCTTTAAAAGTTTCTTTTCTTTCCCCCCAAGACAGAGTCTCGCTTAGTCACACCAGGTAGAGTACAGTGGCATTATCATAGCTCACTGCAAACTCAAACTCCTGGGTTCAAGCAATCCTCCTGTCTCAGCCTCCTGGGTGGCTGAACTACAGGCGCATGCCACCATGCCCGGCTAATTTTTCTATTTTTAGTAGAGACGGGGTCTCACTGTTGCTTAGGCTGGTCTCAAACTCTGGAGTTCAAGCAATCCTCTCACCTTGGCCTCCCATAGTGCTAGGATTACAGGCATGAGCCACCTCACCCGGCCCCTTAAAAGTTTCTTGAAATCTTCATTTTCAGTGGCAGCAGGCACATTTTTGGATATATGGATAATATATATAGCAGTCCCCTGTTGTTGAATGTTTAGGTTATGTCCTCTAACAATCCAGAGTTGTGAGGAAGTGGTGAATTTTTTCCTGTCCCTGATCTCTTGATCATAAGCTGCTGAAATGGGCTTCTAGGGAAGTGAGGTGAAGAATCTGTAAGCGGTCTGGCTAGCCACCAGTTCACTTAGAAGCTGGGGAAAGAAAGCTTTTTCCAGAACCCACTGGGCTGCTCATCTTTTGGCCATGGATCTAGAACCATTCTGGAAATGAAAGATTCCAGTGAATGTGACAAATTTGTGTATATTTGTGAAACAATCCTGCTGAAATTTTTCCCCTTGTGTTTGTTGATCTAGACGCAGCTCAGAAACCAGCTAATTCATGAATTGATGCACCCTGTACTGAGTGGAGAACTGCAACCTCGGTCTATTTCAGTAGAAGGAAGCTCTCTCTTAATAGGCGCCTCTAACTCTCTAGTGGCAGATCACTTACAAAGATGTGGCTATGAATATTCACTTTCTGTTTTCTTTCCAGAAAGTGGTTTGGCACAAGAAAAGGTAAAGTCTTGTCTTTTCTGTTTTTGATTTTTCTATTAACAGTTTCTTCCTCTGATAATTTGTAAAGTGCTCTTGATAGCTAAGTGCTCCTTGAGTAGCCTGGTCCATTTCTTGTTTATCTGCACATAATGTGTTTGTTATATAACAAATGGCTACTAAATTTGATTGTTATTAATTCTTTGGTATCTCAGTCGTTTGTAAAATAGTGATATGTAGAATCACTAAATGTTTTGGAGCTAGAATTGATGTTAACTTTCCATGTAGTCTAATGAAACTCTGCCATTTCTGTTGAATGTCTGCTATGAGCTTGGGTGCTGTGTTAGACACACTATAGGTGTTTCATGTGTTACAGATGAGGAGAGGTGAGGTAACTTGCCCAAGGTCATGTACTTTGTAAGTGCCAATGCAGGGCAGTAAATCTAGATCTCTAAAATGTGCTCTTTTTACTATGTTATGGTCTCTTAAGGTATTTCTCTTTGTAATAACATAAGAAAAGTGAGAAATATGTGAGTTTTTTTTTTTTTTTTTTTACAAATCTAAGTTCTCAAATATTAAAACACATCTTATGTTTTACCACTCTTATTATTTTAACTATATATTCTTCACTATTACCATTGAACATAATAGTCCCACTTTATTTTAAAGGCAGATGTAGCAAACTTTTCTTGTGTGTGTGTGTTTAGTATTCATTTCTTCAGAGCAGTTTTGGGTTCACAGAAAAATTGAGTGAAGAGTACAGAGTTCCCATATACCCCCACACACATGTACAGCTTCCCCCAATATCAACATTTCGAGAGGTGGAGTATTTGCTATAGTTGATGAACCTATATTAACATGTCATTATCAGCCAAAGTCCATAGTTTACATTAGGGTTTACTCTTGGTGGTGTTCCTATGTTTTTACCCTATTTTATCTAAAATTATCCCAAAGTTTCATATTCCAAAGTATTAAGGATGTAAGAATGTTAATACAGTATTTGAATTAAAACTTGAAATTTAAATATGCTGTATGTCTTCTTTAACAACCATTTTATTTATCAATATTAGGAATTCAGTTTTGGCCCACCATTCTCTAACTTTCTAACACATTTCACAATTTTGCTTATTGTGTGAATAATAGTCAATTATATAATTATTATAACAGGAATTAATCCAGTTCATACACTTAAAGGTTTCTACTAATATAAAATGCCATGCAGAATATTTTCTTTTTTTTAATTTATTTTTTTGTTGTTTCCCTTTTTATGTGGAGCCATGCCCAAGAAGCCTGAGCAAGTGGACTCCCAGAATGTTTTCTTTAAGGGAAAACCAATTGAAAACAAATTATATCAGTGTTCTCAGGGTAGACATAGAAAATGATACATACTATAATAAAAATATGTTAATATCTACTCAAAATGTCTGTTTAAAAATATTTTAGGTATATTTTAAGTCATTTGTAGTAAAGACAGTAAAAACTTAGTTTATTTACATTTTTAAACAATGAATATGTCAAAAAATTAACTGTAATTGAAAGATGCTGAAACTCATTTATTCATTGGTTCGTCAGATATTTGAGCGTCATCTGTAAGGCATTAGCCATTTCTGTCATTTTTGTTAGGCATATATTTTTGATGTGAAGTACTTGGAGGTTAATTACATAATCAGGAAAGATACTTTATCCTTTTGACATCAACATGTTTATTGTAACTTATTTACAAGTATAAGAAAGAGCTTCAATTTTACATTATTAGCATAGTTACCTTATTTTTATTTAATCTGAAGCATGTTTCTTAATCTCATATTCATATTCAGAAACATCCTAATTTATCATTTAAAAATGGATGTAAAAATGTGTCTAATTAGTAATCTTTTTTTTTTTTTAAAGATATTTACTATGCATGATCTATTGCAACTCATTAAAATCAACCCTGCCTCCAGTCTCTACAAATCACTGGTAGGATTGCTCAGTTTTTATAATCTGCTTTGGTTCATTAATTATAAATTAATAGTTGAATAAAGGTTAAATATTTTCTTTTAACAGATTGCAAGATTTGATAAAGAAAACCAAAAAGGTAGGAGCATTCATCTTTGTACAGAATAACAGCATTTTTGTATGTACTTTTTCCTATAAAAGTAAGAAGCTGATAATTTTTAGGGGTAAGAGTAGGAAATTTGATTTGCATTAAATCATTTGATTTTCCTTACTGACCATACCTTTTAAGTAAATAACAGTTCATCTGTTGTTCTGACAAATGCAGGTCATTTCCTCCATATCTCCATTCTTGTATTAGCTCTTAGATACTCAACAAAATAGCTGCAGATATTATCAAGAGCCCTACAAATAGACTGAAAGATACTCTTTGTAAAAATACCCACTGTTTGGAACATTTCTGCCCCAAACTCCCCCCAAAAGTAATAACTTTTAGGCCAAATGTCTTTGTATAGTAGGTATCTCTCTCAAGTATAGAGTATTGATATTTTCTTAAAGAATCAGATATCTGTTCAGTAATGTGTTATGTATTTTATTCTTAAGTGTTTATGTAGAGTTGATAAATTGCCTTAATTTTAATCTTGATAATAACCTTTCATAGAGTC